CAACAATGCACTCAAAATTTAATAATTTCCTGAATTTCCTTTCTTCTCTTTATGATCAATACATGTTAGAATAATTTTTTCATTAATTTGTAAAGAATTCCACATTCAAAGTTTTCACTGTTAAATAACCAGTGACATTGAATCTGATCAACAGCTAAAATATATGAGCCGTGTCACAACAAAACCAACATAATGGGTTTGCGACCAGCATGGATCCAGACCAGCCTGCGCATCCGTGCAGTCTGATCAGGATCCAGGCTGTTCGCTAGTAGAGAAACCGATAGCAAACAGCATGGATCCTGATCAGACTGCATGGATTCGCAGGCTAGTCTGGATCCATGCTGGTCGCAAACCCATTATGTTGGTTTTGTCGTGACACGGCTCATATGTAGTTTTCTGTGTCAAAGTCACATTAAATCATAAATATGAAATGAAGTGGTCCATTTATCACCTTTCTTTACAATGTCAAGTCATTGACAATTATTTTCATTAGCTTTTAAATTTTTAATCTCAAATTCACAGTAACTGTAACATTTGTTCATAAACTTCAAGCCAATTATAAATATCAATGTCATAATATCAAATGCATAATCACAGTGACATTTTGTTCATTGGCTACTAGTTTTTCAATGTCAAATTCATTATTTCAGTGACATTTTGTTCATTGGCTACTGGTTTTTCAATGTCAAATTCATTATTTCAGTGACATTTTGTTCATTCGCTACTGGTTTTTCAATGTCAAATTCATTATTTCAGTGACATTTTGTTCATTGGCTACTAGTTTTTCAATGTCAAATTCACCTTCATGGTGAAATTTATGTTGTTCATAAGCTACAATGTTTTAATGTCAAATAAAATTTTACCCTGAAATGACATATCAACTTATTACCCAAACTTTCAATGCCAAATTTACTTTCACAATGACATTAATTGTGCTCATGTGCTTCTTAAATTGCTTTAATTTTATATCACCATAACAATGAGATTCAAACAAATGATCCTACATAATTATGTTATAATACATGTACATACAGATAACTGTAAAAATGCAATTTAACTGAAATAAATATAAATCTGAAGCCATTTTGATACCTCTGACAAAAACTGAAAAACCATAAACTCTAAATTTGTCTACAAAAAGCAAATATAAAGTTTATCCTGTCTACAACAAAAACTAAGAGTTTCAAATCTTCACATTAAAACATCATTAAAGAGTGCATCAAAACATCAGACAGCCATCATAAAATGTATAGCCTAGCAATCAATTTGCTAAAAAGAATTAATATTCCAATAAAAAATTTTCATCATGCAGTTACCAAATGTCAATCAAAGCAATCATCATAAATGGTTTATAATAAAACCAATACAAGAAGCTAAAGATCAATGGCAACAAATTAGTTTCCACATGGTTAATACTTAACCAATCAAAATAAACATAAAAATCACATACCACATGTGTTTTTAACTATACCAATCAAACAACAAATCAATTACCACATGGTTTATTACTAATTCAATCATAACAAGTAAAAGATTGATTACCATATGGTTTATTATTAAACCAGTCAAAGCAAGCAAAATATCAATTACCACATGGTTTACTAACTAAACCAGTCAAAGCAAGCAAAAGATCAATTACCACATGGTTTATTACTAAACCAGTAAAAGCAAGCAAAAGATCAATTACCACATGGTTTATTACTAAACCAGTCAAAGCAAGCAAAAGATCAATTACCACATGGTTTATTACTAAACCAGTCAAAGCAAGCAAAAGATCAATTACCACATGGTTTATTACTAAACCAGTCAAAGCAAGCAAAAGATCAATTACCACATGGTTTATTACTAAACCAGTCAAAGCAAGCAAAAGATCAATTACCACATGGTTTATTACTTAACCAGTCTAAGCTAACAAAAGATAAATTACCAAATGGTTTATTACTTAATCAATCAAAACAAGCAAAAGATAAATTACTATAAGTCATGGTTTATCACTAAACCAATCAAATCAAAACTTACTACATGTTTTTTCATATAAAACAGTCAGAACAAGCAAAATATCAATTATCACATGGTTTATAACTAAACCAATCATTATAGGCAACAAATTATTTACCACAATGTCATGGTTTAAAATAAACAAAAGATGACTTAAACCACAATGTCATGGTTTATCAGTAAAACATCAATAGAAGTACAAAAAACACCAGCACACATAATTTTCATTCAACAAACCAAATTAACAAGAAAACTAGCAAAATATCACATGGTATGCCAATTTTAACAAGCAAAACAGGTTATCACCGGGTTTATATCTAAACCGATCAGTCAGTAAAGCAAAACAAAATTTCTTTGTTTCTTCAAACTGCCAAGAGTATCATTTCATAATATATCAGCCATATGTGGTGCGAGACATTTCTACATAAATAAAATATCTGATTACTATGAGTGAACACAAAATCATTGTTTCTTGCATTGATATTTTACTAAATTGAGACAAAAAGTAAAATGCGAAATAAAAAAAAAATGAAACAAAAATGCAAAGATAACATACATGAAATCTGGTAGACGAGTGAAACCATGAGTAAAAAAAATGAAGCATTATTAAGACTGTAATTATGCACAATCTTTAAGGTAAAACAAAATTGCTCATCAAATTATCCATTACTACAGTAAAAATCTTTTTGGTACAAGTTTAAATTATCTACACACACCTTTAAACCACTTGTGAAAATTGTCTGAGAAATAAGTAAATGTAAAACTTTGTATAGATGGATTCACATAATAAAAAGGTATTTTGCAATTATTACAACAAGTTCAATGTAACATAAAATTATAAACCCTTTATAAAAACTATATGTACATGTATAATACAATTAAACATTATAATATACATATAATGTACATACATGTATAAACAATAACAATAATTGTCAATATTCTAAAGTAAAAATCTATGTTCAAAGCCGGCACGCCTCTCGATTCCTGCTGATTCTCATGAATATTTTGCAAATGGCCTAAAAAAGGATAATATTGTAAAGTGAACAAAGAAAATAATGTACACATTGCTAACGGCACTTACAACTATTATTAGCCATGTAGATTACCAAAAGAAGGCCAAAATTTACAAAATTAACCCTTACTGTGTAAGGTAATATTCACTTTTAACACAGCAGCAATTTACAATGATTTAGTGAAAAATACCACAAAATCTTTCATTTATCGCAAATTATATTGAATCAATAACTTTCATCTTCAACCTTTTTACTTTTCTTAAAATCTCAGTACATTTTTATCAAGTTTCTTGAAATATTTTATCTGATCTCAGGAGGCATGCAGCTTTAACATTTGATATAAAGATAATCCTTTTGTTAACATTTGCTTATGATGACCCCATCCCCCACCCAGATAACAGCTATGTCCCCCACCCCCACTTATACAAGTAAATACCAAACCCATTTTGAATGGGAAAAAAACAGAAAAAATGCAAAAGTTCATATTAATAAAACATTCTTACATTATTAAGTATTTTGTTTGTGTTATGGTATTCAAATAAATAATTTTTTGACAATAATATACAAAAATATCAAAGTGCAAGTCATGAGGTATTCAAATATTTGAGAAAAATATACAAGAAAAGTTCCAGTTCCGCAAAAAAAAAAAAAAAAAAAAAAAAACAACACAACAAAACAACTTCTGTTTCTCGTCTCCCAACCAAAACAAGGTAGACAATTCAGGGTGGGTAGCCGTTTCATTTTTGTATCTCCTTTTTACATAATCTGACTGGAGATTTAAGGAAGAATTATGTGAAAATAGTAGCCTGAATGAGATAAATTTGACCTGAGACGCTAACAAAGGGTTAAAGGTAATGTCAAGAAGGATCTAAAGACACCCATAATCAACGGTGACTTTAACGCTGTGCAATAAAAAGTAATTCACATATAAAGTCACCATTGCAGTGTACTTTACTTTTAAATATTTTTTCAAGAAATGACATTTGCATTGAGAAATATGCCATATGGAGAACAAAATGCAATGTAAAAATGTTCTGCACACACATAGCTTTTAGAATAAAGCAACAACGTTAAGTCTTCAGATGGCAACTGCAATGGCATTAGCAACAATGCCAATATGGACATCTTAGATATATCTTGAATTTGTTTCTTCATAAAAGTTAATTTAGCTAAAACAGAAGGTAGTCGGGGAGACCAGAAACAGCCTTTGTTTTGGCAACATAGTACATGATTATTATACTTTTTTCTCGTCTCGTAATTTAATGTAATTGCATTGATTAAGTATTACTTAGCCATTAAAATTATAACTATTGCACAATGTAAACAGTGTATGATAGGAATATTAGTATCAGTCTGTTTTGACAAATTTTTATTTCATTTTCAATTTTGATTCAACAAAACAAAATTAATAGTCACTTAAATCTAAACTTTCCAAAGTAAAAATTTTCGCACTCAGCCACTAAATTGTTTTATTAATAAAATCATGTAGACACAAACATACATGTATTGATATAATATATGCCACGCATAAGACATAAGTGTACCAGACACTTTAGAAAAAATTGTTTAATTCAAGTTTCATTGAATAAACTATTATCTACTTTTATACTTGAAAATAAGTACATTTATTATAAATAAATATATAGCACTTTTGTCATTATATGAAACACACAAGATATATATACTCATACATATATATATAAAAAAAGGAATTTTGATTCTATGTGTGGATCTAATAATGTTTTATTATGTAAAAGATAAGTTTCTGGGAAATGCAGAAAATAAATATCATTTTTTATATGTTTATTTCTGTTAAGCATTTTTAGTGTTATATTATTATCAAAAGGCATGTGTACAACATTGGAAGCGGTAAAAGAAATAAACATATAAAGTGAACTGTATTTATTGTCTGCATTTCGCAGAAACCTATTTTTAAACACACATATATACATATAAGAAGCAAACATTCATACCATTCATATACCCATAACCAGATTTTTAACTGTGAATTTTACAATTACATCTGCATTTGCTTATCAGTGTTTTTATTTTTTCAGGTGAATAATTTGGAAAAATAAAATACAGTTATTTTTCACAAATCATTCCCTTATTTTTTCTCTTATTTTTATGTTTATATAAATATATGTATATATAATATACAAATAATCTCAATTTCTTTTGATATACGCTATGCGGTTTGATACCCAACATTTTCACAATTTTCTGCCACAGACTTCAACCCTATATCAGCCAGAGCTTTCAGAAGACGGTCTTTCGAAGCGTCGGACCCCATACCTCGTTTCCATGTGATTAGAGCTTCAATTCCAACCTCCACTAAACCATGATCTTTGTAACGGTGCTCAATCTCGTCCATTTCTGTTTCACCAACTTTGAGTGAACGCAGAAGCTGTCTCCACTTTTTACCCAGACACTTTGCCACATAGCTTAGAAGTGGAATAGTTATACCTGTAAAGTAATAATCTCTTTTTTTAAAATATAGTAATATAATTCAAACCTACCATTTGGGCTACTTTTTGGGATTTTTTTTTCTGTTTCAGAAAGGAACATAAACTTTCTTCACTCTAAAAAATACAAATATTTTCTTCCTAACTACTGAGATAAATCTTGGTTTTCTTTAACGCAAGATAAATGTGAAGAACTGATAAAAAAAACTATTTTTTATCCACACAAAGCGTACAAATTTTGAACAAGAATTTGTAGACAAATAATTACACTAAAAGAAAAAAAGCATTTTTAAACAAATTTTTAATTTGTACATGACTTTCATTCCTTAAGCATATTAATTCTTTTGCAAAAAAAATCTATTTTTCAAACGGGGCCGGCAAAATCTGATTTTGACTTACTTGTCTTTTTTTTTAAAAATCATTTGTTTTACTTGTCCATTTGATATTTATAATGCACATTCTTAAAAAAATTCACTTGTCTGTAGTGTACAGGCTGTGGGAAAACCTCGGCAATACAGACAATTAATTTTGCCATCCATGTTTAAATTTAGTTGGTGCAAGAAATTTTAAAGCATTTCCAAGGACATTTGTGCCTGTGTTCATTTAAACTATATCTGTTTATAATTGGGATGAAATATAATGTGATATTTCATCAATTTTGCAGGTGATATTTCAAAGCAGGTGTTATTGAGAAATGCGAAACTCTTCTGCTAACCTTAAAATAACAGATTTCTAAGTCTTATTTGGATGTGACATCCACATTTTTGACTATGAATATACATGGGCATGCAACATAACTAATAAGGAAATGCAAGTTGAAGAGATTTGTCCAGAGCAAAAGCAGCTATTTCATGGACATTAAGTGTCTGGGCTGTTACAAAATAACCACAGTTTTCAGTCATGAACAGACAATGGTTTTGTGTGTCCGCTGTAGTACAGTCTTAATTGTCAGCCTACCTGAGGAAATGCCAGGCTAACAGAAGGCTCAAAATTGATGAATATTAATGGCAATTACCTGAAGTTTCAATATCAGAATTTGGTTCAGGAAATCTATCTCTCATTGATGGAAATGTTCTGCTCAGATGCATGTGGCCACTAGCTTGATATCTTGGCAACAAATCGTAACAGGCCACTGAACTTTCCGACAAAGTATGATGTCTCGGTTTCCTTCGTATGTTACCTCGCGAGTTCATTTGCTGTCTTAGGAAGGGACATCTTGTAAATCTCCCACTCAATAAACACTTTCTACACTGACAGTCTTCACCATGGCTACTAGTCACATGATCAATGTCGGAACTGTCAGTGTCCTCTGCTCTTTGCCATCTATGTGGAGCAATGTTCAACGTAATATTTTTATTGTGAGAACTTTCACACCCTGATGTTTCTGTGTCACATCCGCTTAAATCATTGGGCAGATCAAATGATGCTTTCTTTGTGGAGTTCTTAAACATAGTTTCAGAAGGTTTTGATGTCAATCTTGTATTGCAATTTGGATCAAACTCAGATGGAGTAGATGTAGTGATATTGTCTGTTGGAAATTCATTCAACACTTTTTCCCTCTGAATTTCACAAATTTTTTTACAACAGTTTTCAATGCATTTAACTTTTTGACAAATCTCGTTATCTTCACAAATTGGACCATCTGATTCTATTTCACCTCTCACACATCCTTCATACCTCTGAGATTGGTCTCTTCTCTCAGACACTTCAATGTTTATTGGCGTCTCTGCTCTTGGATTTTGTTCATCAGTTGCTAGTGATTTTACTTCAGTATTTGAATTTTCTCTACCAACTTCCCCAGGCATATTTTTGCAAGCCACAACAGTCTTTCTGCCTGTTTCCTCATCTAAATCTAATTCTTCAGGTTCTCCTCCAAGATAGAAAGTTGGTGTTGATTCATGGGACTCTTTAGGGACTTGCGCAACTATGTTGAGTTGTTCATGTGGTTTTGAATATTTCTGCTGAATTACTCTCCATGCTCGGTTTAAAAACTTTGATTTATTTTTCATAATGTCTTTTGTTGAACTTTGACTGTTCTCCTTAGCATTTACATTTTTCAAATTGGACTTCAGCTGAAATATTTAAATGGCAAATATTAATTTTATAACATTTAAATAATGGTTTAAGAGCATGTAAGATGCTTGTTACCTGACAAAAGGAATTGCCAACAAGAGCCATATGTTAAAATAGCCATGCGTTTGCTCATTGGAAGAATGTATATGTAGTAGAGCAAAATAATTCAATTTTAAGAGGTCTTTTGGTAATGAAAACTGATGGCTGAAGTGATTACAGATTTGAAACCTATGTGAATACTGATGGCTGAAAATAACAAAGGACAATAACTGAAAAATAATGCAGGGTAGGCTATCATTCATGTGTGCTGCACTCCTCCTCAATGAGATCTATCCACCTATAAAGTCTTAAGTTGATACCTTTTGTGATACTTTTTGAGATACATCCGAACAAAAACTATGAAAATAACGGGCAATAACTGCAAAATTATAAACAAGAGGGCCATGATGGCCCTGAGGTCGCTCACCTGTATATAGGCCCCCCACCCCCCCCCCAACGTTGCAGGGCCAATTTAACTCAGGGGCTTTTATTTGCACAAACTTGGTAGACACCCATAAGAAAATTGCACAAACTTGGTAGACACCCATAAGAAAATGTTTCATGCTAAACATCTAAGCTCTAGCTCATTGGGCTTTTTAAAAGAAGATTTTTTTAAAGTTTTTACTATATGCATATAGGGAAAATCAATGACCCCCAGGGCGGGGCCAATTTTGACCCCAGGGCTTTTATTTGAACAAACTTGGTAGACACCTATTAGAACATGTTTCATGCTAAATATCTTAGCTCTAGCTCTTTGGGTTCTTTAAAAAAAGATTTTTTAAGTTTTTACTATATGCATATAGGGAAAATCAATGACCCCCCAGGGCGGGGCCAATTTTGACCCCAGGGCTTTTATTTGAACAAACTTGGTAGACACCTATTTGAACATGTTTGATGCTCAATATCTTAGCCATAGCTCTTTGAGTTCTTTAAAAGAAATTTTTTTAAGTTTTTACTATATGCATATAAGGAAAATCAATGAACCCCCGGGGCCGGGCCAATTTTGACCCCAGGGCTTTTATTTGAACACACTTGGTAGACACCCATTAGAACATGTTTCATGTTAAATATCTTAGCTCTAGCTCTTTGGGTTCTTTAAAAGAATTTTTTTTAAGTTTTTACTATATGCATATAGGGAAAATCAATGACCCCCAGGGGCGGGGCCAATTTTGACCCCAGGGCTTTTATTTGAACAAACTTGGTAGACACTCACTAGAAGATGTTTCATGCCAAATATCTTAGCTCTAGCTCTTATGGTTTTTTAAAAGAAGATATTTAAAGTTTTTTCTTTTGGTTGCCATGGCAACCAGAGTTCTGCATGGAATTAAATTCTTTGAACAATTTTTAAAGGTGACCACCAAAGGAACATTCCTGTGAAGTTTGGATGAAATTGGCTCAGTGGTTTATGAGGAGATGTCATTTAAAGTAAAAGTTTACGGACGGACGACGGACGGACGACGGACGGACGACGGACGGACGCCGGACGAAAAGCGATCACAAAAGCTCACCCTGTCACTTTGTGACAGGTGAGCTAAAAAGTAGAGTTATCATTCTTGCGCACTGTAAGCATTTCTCCTTGATAAGATAAATCCACCTATGAAGTTTTATGCTGACATCTCATAGACTATTTGAGTTATGCCCCACTCAGGAAAAGTTAAGTAAATAACAAAGGCAATAACTCAAAAATTATGAAGGGAAGAGTTATCACTGTTGTGCACTGCACCCCTCCTGAGTGAAATGTATCCACCCATGAAGTTTCATGTTGATATCTCAATTTCAGTTATGCTTTGGACAAAAATTAAATTTGAAAATAACAAAGGGCAACAACTGAAAAATTATACAGGGTAGAGTTATCATTCTTGTGCACTGCACTCCTCTTTAATATGATCTATCCACCTATGAACTTTCAAGTTGATACCTCAAATACATTTTGAGATATGCTCCAGATGAAAAGTATGCAAAGTAAGAAAGGGCAATTACTGAAACAAGAGGGCCATGATGGCCCTGAGATCGCTCACCTGTAATTGTTTTGGGTTTTGCGTCACATCGACACAGTATAGGTCATATTGCGACGTTCCAGCTTTACTGGTGGAGGAAGACCTCAGGCGCCCTTCCGTGCATTATTTCAGGCATGAATGGGCACCTGAGTAGAAACACCGACGTTCCGTAAGCTAGCTGGATAGCTTCCTTACATGAAAGAATCCAAAGTCCCTGTCGGGATTTGATCCCACACTTGGCCACATCTGGAGCGGGGCCAGTTTAAACCCCAGGGCTTTTATTTGAACAAACATGCAAGACACCCATTAAAAGATGTTTCACGATGTTAAGTTTTCACTACACACATATTATAAACAAGAGCACCGCTAGGCGGAGCATTATATGCCCGAAAATACTCTTTCTTTTAGTGAGGAAGACATTGGAATTAAATACAGTATTACTTCCTTCAAAAAGCAATCCTCCTTTATAGCTGAAGAACATTCATGTATATATGCAGTTGCTGTTTTCAAAGCACCACCATCAAGTTGTTATCTTGTAAGTAAAAATGCTAAAACGGATGGACACCAAGACGTCAGGGGTATAAAGCTGTTAATCCTATAAAATTTAACAGCTGTAGTTCGTTTAATACTTGAGTTATTGAGTGAAAACTGTTTCCAGTTTAAAGGTGATAGTCATCCATTGATCTTTGACCTTGTGACCCCAAAATCAATAGCGGTCTTCTACCCAATATGAACAATCATCCTATGAAGTTTGAATACTGTGGGCCAAATGGAACTTAGGTTATGCTCCGGAAACCATTTTCAGTATAAAGCTAATAGTGACCTTGACCTTTGGCCTTGTGACCCCAAAATCAATAGGGGTCTTCTACCAAATATGGACAATCATCCTATGAAGTTTGAAAACTGTGGGTCAAATGGAACTTGAGTTATGCTTCGGAAACCATTTTACGTATTTAGCTACTAGTGACCTTGACCTTTAACCTTGTGACCCCAAAATCAATAGGGGTTTTTTACCCAATATGGACAATCATCCTATGAAGTTTGAATACTGTGGGCCAAATGGAACTTAAGTTATGCTCCGGAAACCATTTTCAGTATTTCGCTAATAGTGACCTTGACCTTTGACCTTGTGACCCCAAAATCAATAGGGGTCTTCTACCCAATATGGGCAATCATCCCATTAAGTTTGAATACTGTGGGCCAAATGGAACTTAAGTTATGGTCCGGAAACCATTTTCAGTATTAAGCTAATAGTGACCTTGACCTTTGACCTTGTGACCCCAAAATCAATAGGGGTCTTCTACTTAATATGGACAATCATCCTATGAAGTTTGAATACTGTGGGTCAAATGGAACTTAAGTTATGCTCCGGAAACCATTTTCAGTATTTAGCTAATAGTGACCTTGACCTTTGACCTTGTGACCCCAAAATCAATAGGGGTCTTCTACCCAATATGGGCAATCATCCTATGAAGTTTGAATACTGTGGGCCAAATGGAACTTAAGTTATGCTCCGGAAACCAAATTGCTAACAGACGGACGGACGGACGTACGGACGGACGGACAGACGGACGCCAGGGGGTATAACATAATATGCCCGAAATTCTTTCGGGTATATAAAAACAACGATCTACCATTCCTCCTATGCCATGGCAACCAGAGTTCTGCATGGAAATAAATTCTTTGAACAATTTTTAGAGGTGACCACCAAAGGAACATTCCTGTGAGGTTTGGATAAAATTGGCTTAGTGGTTTATGAGGAGATGTCATTTAAAGTAAAAGTTTATGGACGACGGACTGACGCTGGACGAAAAGCGATCACAAAAGCTCACCCTGTCACTTTGTGATAGGTGAGATAAAAATTAAAAAGGGTAGAGTTACCATTCTTGCAAACAGCATTCCTCCTCAATTAAAGATCTACCCACCTATGAAGTTTCATGTTGACATCTCCAAGACTTCTTGAGTTATGCTCCACTCAGGTGAAAAAATTATGTATGAAAAATAACAAAGGGCAATAACTCAAAAATTAGAAGGGTAGAGTTATCATTCTTGTGCACTGCACACCTCCTGAGTGACATCTATCCACCTATGAAGTTTCATGTTGATATCTTACAGGCTTTTTGAGTTATGCTCTGGACAAAAATTAAGTTTGAAAAATAACAAAGGGCAATAACTGAAAAATTATACAAGGTAGAGTTATAATTCTTGTGCACTGCATTCCTCTTCAATATGATCTATCAACTTATGAAGTTTCAAGTGAATATCTCAAATACTTTTTGAGATATGCATCAGACAAAAATGTGGGAAGGAAGGACTGATGTTCTAATGGGACAGTAATTATGTGGCTACTCTATTGTTCTCTATTGTTCAAAAATATTTTTGCCAATAAATCTGAATAGGTAATGTGAAACCTCTTATTGTACTCATACTCCATGATAGATATGTATAATTCGATTTACCTACTCTGATATGAGAACTGTACAGGGTTTTCATTATTAACAGATTGGCGATGCATATCATTAGCTGTTAAAATCAGTTGTATTTTCACCGTTAGACTAAAATATCCCCATTGACACTTTGCCAAATCTTTTTTTTTCATTGGCACATGAAAATTGCTTACATAAAAATGAAAACCCTGACTGACAGTAGTAACCTTACTTTAAGGGGAATAATTAACAAAAAACTTAAAAATTGGCATAAGACTATAAATCTGGTCAGTCATAGGGTAAATATTGGCTGGTCTGATTATAACAATGGCATATGTATTACATAAATATATATTAAATTGATAATAAGATATTACCATCTGACGGGGCAAACTGGAAACAGCAGCTTCTTTGGTATCACAAATGCTAATTCCCGCCGGTATAGGTCCATTATCCAGACAAGTGTCCTCAGTCTGAGGTGCTTCAGCTGTTTTGGGTGCTGAAATAACAAAAATAACAACAACATTCAGATTTAAATCTACACTGAGGTTTTTTACCTGTTTTAAGTACATATTACGTTGTATTTAATTGACTAACAACTTTATCACTCCTGCTTAGAGCATTTTTTTCCCATAACATAGCATTTGCAGAAAGATCTTTTGTTTTTTACTTCATTTAGTACTAAGAACATAAATAATAAAATGTGAAAAAAAAGTAATTATTTTCATATTTAAAAAAAGAATCATTGTAAAGTAATGCTTATTAATTATAGGTATGTAACAAGACTACATACCGTGAAGTAGAAGTCCAGAGTTGACCGCACCTAAACGTTTTACCATATGTCCATTTTCATGTACCATGAAGATGTTGATAAGGTTCCCTTGTAACAAATTGGGCTGGTCGAAGTAGCTTATTATCACAGTATCTCCAGACTTCACACCCTGATCTGCAAGTGAGCACGTCCGATCTATGCAGTGATCCTTGAAAATCCCCCTTGAACGTTCCCGAGCATATTGGAAGTGGTGCGCACAGAATCGTAACAAATCGTCTCCTGTAGTTGTTTCGCTATTGTCTATAATGAGGCTAATCCTCTTTTTACCTGATAAAATGACTACTTTTAAAATGATTCTGTGCTGAAATAACTGTAGGGAAATTTCCATATTATTTTTAATCGGGTAATACTGAAGAGGCTGGTCATATTCCATCATTATGCCTCTACAGAAAAGTGAAATCTGAAGTAGCTTCAAGCCCCATTGCTCTGCAATCTTTCTTTTCAGAGCTGACACAGGGTCGAGCATGTACATTTCGAATGGTTCCTCACCACATTCAATCGGATGCTTTATTCTCAAAGTCTTGTGTTTCTTTATTCCAGCAGCAATCCTGCAACCATTCTGCCAGTGCTCTTTATAGACCCTGCTCAAATCATCATGCTCATCCAGAAGCTTGTCATCAAAAGTGAGCTTCACTGCCTTTGGATCAACACCAAGATGTTTTGACACCTCTGTCCTGAGGGAAGTGGTGGATATCTTTTTAGAGACAATCAGTAACTTGTGCTTAGTTTTCCGTCTCACTCTAAACTTCAGATCAATGCTTATTGAAACCTGTGCACCAAAATGTAGCGTAATTTTCTCCTCTTTGATATTTTTTCGCAGCACAAGACCCACACATTCTTCATCTTTAAGTAAACGACCTTGAAAACATAAGTGAAATGTTGATTCTTCGGTACCTTTTAGTTTTTGAATTTCATCATGAAATTGTGCTGCAAACTGCCTTTTCACTTGTTCTAAAGAACTATTCATATCAAGATCTAGCGAGTACGAACAAGAAACATCAGACCTTGGTTGATAAACAAAATCAATTCTATGATAACTTTGTTTCAAAGCTTGAATTCTTGCAAGAAGTTTAAAATTACATGACCTTAACTGCAAGTTATCTTCCAAAACATTGCCATTTTGACAAAGGACCAGACCTTTCCAACGTAACTCTTCAGCAAGGAGTTTCTTTATGTCTTTTATGGTCTGTCTGACTGGCAATCTAATGCACAAAATCTCTGGATGGAATTGGTCTGTAAGCTCGAATACTTCCACCAACAAGGGACAATACTCTTCTCCTACATTGTCAGGAAGAATTACTATTATTATTTTGAGCAAAACTTCCTCTTTTTGTCCCTCTTCTTCTATAATATGTACCTTACTAATGCTTACATTGAACATTTGGCTCACCTCAAATTTCAAATCATTTATCAGCGAGGAGGACTGTACTCGTATTTTGTAAAACCTTGTACGCCCTATTTGATGGGCTTTTGTCATGTCAATGACTGGGTAAGAACAGTACTGTGAAGTCCTTGAATAAACGTTTTTGTCACTTTTATACACAGATTGTCTGGCTGGAGCATGTGAGCTCTCAACATATGGGAATTTAGCACTTTGGGTTTCAACATTAATGTTTTTTGTACTTTGCATTTCAGACAAAGGGTTGACAACATTACTATTCTTTGTCTCTATAGTAACCTGGCTAGCTTCATGATGCTTGTCACTGGCATATCTGTCAGTGTACTGTGGTTCAGATACGCCCAATAAAGACTCAAGAACAGAATTAGAGGTGTCCACCACATCTTGTCTCCTGCTGTGTGGACTTTCAATCTGTTTCGGCTCAGTATGACCTAGTAAAAATTCAAGCTCAGGATTTCTGCCATCTGCTAAAGAGTGCTTCTCTGTGTTATCTTCCCAAGACTGCTCAGACTCTTCACTACCTGAACTAGAGCCTGTATCAAAGAAAACTTCACATAATCAGTTCAATCACTAAAAACTTTATCAGTATATCTTAGTAATAAAAGAACAGTCAGGGAATATATAAATTAAAGGAACTCAACTGAGCTTTTTTTGAAATGACCGGACTTGAGTTAATTTTTTCGAGATTTATGTTTTCCACTTGGTGAAAGGGCTAGACCAATAACTTGTGCGAAAAATTTCAGATCATTCGGACACTCTGTTTTTCCAAAATAATCATTCTAATTGTGAAAAATGACCCAAAATTGAAGTGTTGCAACAAATTGGGCGAAAAAACATAAAAATAAGACTTTAAATTTATCTCCGAGTATATTTCTTGATTATATTTTACATACTTTTTGTTTTAAGTGCTGCTGCTGATCTATGTAAGAAATCCAAATTTTATATTTTTGGGCTTTTGAACCTTAGTGTAGTTCCTTTAAATACTTCAAAAATAATATCAAATATATCTCTTTCTATCATTTCAAAACTTTATAGCCACGTGATTAACATCACCAACTTTGAATTACTTGACATTTGTGGGTTAGAATCCCAGGAACAACATTGAGCTCTTTACTTTGCAAAAGTTATCCAGCTAGCTTACAGAATACCAGTGGTTCTAATAAATTTAATATCAGGATCCAACTTTGAATTACTTGACATTTGTGGGTTAGAATCCCAGGAACAACATTGAGCTCTTTACTTTGCAAAAGTTATCCAGCTAGCTTACAGAATACCAGTGGTTCTAATAAATTTAATATCAGGATCCATGCTGTTCGCTTACAAACCCGATTAACAGTAGAGAAACTGATAGCGAACAGCATGAATCCTGATCAGACTGCACAGATGCGCAGGCTGGTCTGGATCCATGCTGCTCGCAAACGCATTACGTTGGTTTTGTCGTGACGCGGCTCATTTATCTAAACTTACCAGAAATATATTTGTCTTCTGATTTACCAAACTTATCCATCATGTCAGGTTGTCATGTATATGTAGTTGAAACTTGTTCCTAAAAGTACCTCACCTGGCCTTCCTGTAATAATATGGAATGGATTAATTATTAATTTCATGCATTAGACAAAGTACATACAGTTAACAATCTAATATTACTGCAAGGGTGAACTGTATATTGGCGGCACGGCCAAAATTAATGATAAACATGATAAGACAATAAATCTTAGGAATGTTGGTTGTGTGGGTTTAAACCCTGTCTGTGGGGCAAGCCCAACTCAATAGTTAGTACTGGTTGATTAGAAAGTGCGCTAAAAGCTTCCTACAAAATCATTAATAAGCTAAATAAACTCACAATATGAAAAGGAAATACTACACATATTTGTTATGTCATGGTATAAGAGCTAATATTTTATTACTGTTATACAATAATAATTAACCAGTATTATCTGTTTAATTAAGTATTTGGGCCAGAGCCAAAGAAAGATTAGAAAAATAAACAAACACCATGAATGATATCATAACATAAATTTAACATTACTTCCCTGCTGATTTTGATTGACTAATAATTGTCAAGCGTAGGAACAGTCAATTAATTTTGTGATAGGGTGAGATTTTAAAAACAAAGTTTAAATATAATAACATTGAGCAGGCAACATTATAAAGAGCCTTAATTAGGTCATTCTGTATGGATATGACTAACTTACTAAGCCTGACTTTATCCTGTTTAACACTGTACATATGGGCACTAATATTTAACCCTTTTTTAAATACTAGTAGGTAAAATAGATTTAGTTTACTGAAAATCATATCATCTGCAAATCATTCACTTCAGAAAATTAAGCCCGCAGATTTAAGACCTAATTTATTAGTATGTATACAGTACTTGTTTGTCTCAGTGCCAAAATTGCAGAGGATATGACCAAATTGCAGTGTGGGGAAATTCACCTGAAACTTTACCATATAATTGGGTGGGGCCTTCACTAGGTACTTGATGATCCAAAACTCACAATCCTAATACTATACTGCAGTAATGCCTAAGGAAGTATATAGAATTGAATGCTACAGTAACGTACATAGAGCTGTCATTGATTCAGTGCAAAGCACATCAACGATATATCGATATCAAGTAACTAAAATCAACGATACACCGATATATCGATAATATCCTATACACCCAATTGTCTGTCATTCATTTTCATACCTGTTTCAATGATTTCAGTCAAAAACATGTTATGTACAGTGTCTTAATTGTCCACTGCATGATTTTTTCTAGACAATATTTTTTGTCACCATTGCTATGAAATAATTCCACTATATAACAAAAGCATCACATTTGATATAAATAATTGTTTCTGCATATATTTTGGGTGAATTGTATAATTTCTAGACATTTAATTTATAAGTCAAAAGTATCGATTTTTTAAAATGTGTATCGATTATTGATCGACAAAAAAATATCAACGATACATCGATATTGTCGATATCGATGACAGCTCTAAACGTACATAATATGTACTTATAAATTCATTTGTAACTTTGAGAAAGTTTGAAGAAAAAAATTGAATGATACAGCCATATTGTACATGTACTGTAATATACATAAACCATGAATTTGGTGTGCAAATACATGGACTGTGACTCATGACACTGTTTTGCTTTCTCTTACAATAAATTTAAGGGTCACTCATTGACCTCCTTAATTAATTATGTCGCGGTAAACAAAAAACAAAGTATCGAATTCAGGTCAGTATCGATTACACGTCAATCCACGATAATTACTAATTAATTAAGGAGGTCAATGACCCTGAATAAAAGATCACTTTCTTTTTTAGAAACATCACTAATTTCTCTTCTTATTTCGAAAAATAGCAAATGTATCTATGAAAAATAGCTGAAACTAAATCATTCATGTAAAAAGATACCATAATATACAGGAGAAAGAAAAACATTTTTTTTCGACATGATGACGTAATTTCTCATTTGACAGCAACAGGTGTAATAAATAGAAAATTAACATAATTGTTTATATTAAAATCATATAAATTACCAAAACGATAGACAAGATAGCAATAAAAGGTAAACCTATGTTTTAACTTACCACTTTCTATGAGAATATAGCACCCAAAATTAATAAATATTTGCTGGTATGATCCCAATTAACAGTTTCTAAAAATAACCATTCAGGAAAAACCCTTGTCACAAGTGTACACAGTGATCTCCCCGGATCAAGGAAGGTAACCGGGGGGATACTAATCGACGGTCTCCGGTCTTCGACGGTCCCCGGTCTCCAAAGACCGTCGAAGACCGTCAATTGTAGTAGACCGTCGATTAGTAGGTTATAACACAAATCGACGGGTCTCCAGATTATATACGTAATTAGACAGAATGACCAATAGGCAATAACACTTTTTATTTTCAGTGATTGATGTCAATAGAATTAGAGTGATTAACGGGTATTTTTGATGAAAAAAATACAGTAATAATAAAAAGAAAGAAATTTTTTAAAAGTTATAAAAATATTTTTAGAATTTAGATGATGTGTTTGTTCAGTTGTAATTCAACAATGATCAATTAATTGTCTTTAATGAAATTAAATACATTTTGACTTAATATTTGTAAAGATAAAGTAGAACCCTCTATTAATAGGTTATTATATAAGATTTATTACATAATTGAAATTGCGACATAGGTAAAAATGTGGCCAATAAGCATTTTTTTTCTAAAAATAAAAAAAACTTTAACTTAAAAAATGTTATTGGTTTTTCTCCGTGGAAAATCTTATATATTTTGTTGAGAAGCGTTCAGTTAATTAACATTTCGCCAAAGGTTTAGATGTAAATAAAATAAATAAACGGATTTGACTGTTTTTGCGAAAATGTAATAATCCAGGGCCACACCACGGGGAGAAACTCTCTCGTGGCCCAACCTAACTTATAAAAAGAAAAAAATGTGAGATAATGTATTTCAAAAAAAATGCACATGAAAAGTTAGAAAGGTAACAAAAAAATAATTAAAGAAATCTATTAGAATGGAAAAAATCGTCAACTTCTGTCCAGAAATAAAAATTTTACAACATAAAAAAAAGCCTACTTTTTCCTGAATGCAAAGAAAAACGATGTTAAAAATAATCAAATCTGTTGAACTGACAAATGGAAAAGGCAAAAATAATGGTTTACGAAATATACAAAATGCAAATATAAACAAAAAACAAAAAAAAAACACACTTAAAGGCAATGTAAATAAAAATTAAATCAGCTAATAAATGTCAAATTACGAAGTATATATAAGTGAAAATAAAACATGAACATAGTAAACATTTATGCAAATCAATTTGTATGGCATAATGTAAAAAAGTAAGAGAAAATTTATAATAAATTTTGCACGAGAAAACTAACAAAAGTTACAAAAAAATTATTTCAGAAATTTATTAGAATTGATTTCTTTATAGCACAATTTTGGTTTCAAAAATCTGTCTGGAATAAAAATTTAAAACATAAAAAACTGTTAATTTAAGGCCCTACTTTTTAATGAACGCAAAAAAAACGATGTTTGAAATAATCAAATCTGTTGAATTGAAAAATGACCTGTTGAACTGACAAATGGAAAAGGCAAAAAACAATGGTTACGAAATATACAAAATGCAAATATAAACAAAAAAACACTTACTTAAAGGCAATGTAAATAAAATTTAAATCAGCTATTAAATCTCAAATTACGAAGTACATAAGTGGGAAAAAAACATGAACATAGTAAACAGTTATGCAATCAATTTATGGAATTATGTAAAAAAGTGAGAGAAAATTTTATAATAAATTTTGCACGAGAAAAGTTACAAAAGTTACAAAAAAAATTATTTCAGTAATTTATTAGAAATTGATTCTTTATAGCACAACTTTGGTTTAAAAATCGGTCAGGAATAAAATTTAAAAAAATAAAAGTTGTTAATATAAGGGCCTACTTTTAATGAATGCAATGTAAAATAAAACAAAATAAACATTACGCCGCCTGTCAATCAAGCTGGCAGGGGTCACAGAGATAAGCTAATCAGCGATCGTTATCAGTTTCACGCTAAGATGCCTGCGAAGTCCGCCATTTTCCTTTCTAAGACAATGGTGCATTAATTGAAAGTATTTTAATTTTCTGTCAATTTAAAGCTATAAATCGGTATATTTATTCAGGTATCAAATATAAAGATAGATCGAGTAAGTTAGTTTATAAATAAAAGTCAATAATTATCTACAAATGGAAATAATAAGTTCTATTGCAGGTACGAAACATTTATCCTGGCTATAACACAATGCTTTGAAAAGGGAAAAAGGTTAAAACAAATCCACTTATTTTCATTACCGTTCTATCTGTTCATAATCGCATTAAATATTATAAGGTCAAAAGAATATCCAGAACGTATGACATTTTTCGTTTATAATTTATAGCGTCAATAAAAACGCAGCGTAAAAAATGTAAATTTAATGAGTAAATAAATAAACAAATGGGTGAAACTATCTTACCTGAATATTTCTATAAAGTTCAATAAGTTAAGAATAGTCATTTCGAATAGATCTACTTAATACGAAACTAATACCACTAGCATCATATCTACTGTATGTAAAGGTTATTTTAAAAAGAATAACGTTGCGTTTTGTCGTGAATCATATCAAATACACGTATGTAAACAATACATAATGACATATAATGTATTGTTGTGAATATTTATATATATTTTTAAAGTAAACATATTCTGTATGTTTTACTTTTTGGTTTATTACTCAGCTGGAAGCGTGCCGCTTTTCGTTGAAACAAAGTCATCCCATTTTTAGTACATTCCTACATTTAATTAATATTATGACAATAAAAACATTCCCAGGGAAATTGCTTTTCTAATGATTTTGGTTTATGTTTAACACCTACACATTTTTGATGGAACCACTTCCGACATTTTCTATTATCACATTGAATCATATTGTCTACAAATTCCGGCATTTCACACATACAGGTTGTCTTGATTTTAAATGACCTATGGATACCTTGAAAAGATGCGGGCCTCTGAAACTTACTATTTTCTTTTGGGAAAGGAGACATTTTTTCATTAACAAAACAATGAAACAAATGTTCGCGCATTTCTGAAACAATATATTGATGTTTAAAATTGAATCTGCCGCCACTATAACAGAAATCTACGTTTGTGCTATTGCAAATAGTCCACAATCGTTGCTATTTGGTTGTTGTTGTACTCTTGGAACTTTAACGCATAAATTATTTTTTTCACTTGAATAAAGTTGTGATAATTGGATCTGAATGTTATTTTTTTAATAGTTTAAGGTTTTCCCCTAAACTGTCTAAAATAATATATAAAATTCAAGTCATCTATTGATTTCATACTGACTGTCCAGTGACAACTGCCGTCAAAATGTATTTGTACAGAAGGGTATTCAATTTGTCTAGCAAATTTTCTGTCAACATTCCAAATTTTCTTATTGTCTAAGAAAAAAGGTGCTAATTTAGTATCCTGCAAACCATGAATGTTCGGAAATTGCCTTTTTAATATCGTCATTGTTGCATTTATTATGTTTGTCTGTCAGCCATTGTTGATCTTCAAGTATTTTTTTATCATTTAAATCTAAATATTAAATTCGTCAACCAAGGGGCATAATCTGTAACATCGGAATTTCTTCCAGTGTTTAATTCGTTAATACATTGATTTTTTATTGGTGATTTCAAAGTTGGCATTTCTAATTTAACTTTTTTCTTTAAGGTCCTATCTGGAGACGCGTGTCTTTTTTTGTCTGAAGTGGCATTTTCACTTTCAGTTATATCCGGTAAAATGACGTCGTTTTACTTTAACATTTGTCTGGAGACATTTTTTTCCTAACTATATTCTTATCATTATTATATCAAGGCAAGGTTGTTGCCTATAACATCAAGTTAAGTCATAGTACATTAAATGCCCTTTTGTCTACAGAAATGCTTTTGTTTTCATTCTTCAAAGGGTCTTTCTTTTTGTCCTCCCTCAGCGTTATTCAACGTTACTTATTTCATGTGACATAAACATAAGCCATAAATTAAACTCTGCCCTTTCTAAGCCAGGAAAAATTTATTCGTTTCTTGGGCATTATGTGCCTTTAATAATGCGACATTAAAACTTTTTCTCTTTTTTTAAAGCTAAAATTCAATCAACGAAAGCATGTCAATTATCAAAAAGCATGGCCGAGTGGTTAATGCGGTGAACTAGTAATAGTAATTTCATTATCGCTAGCCGCATGGGTTCAAACCCCTTCCAGGGGCAATTTGTTGTTTCCTTCAGCAAGAAACATTACACTCATCTCCAGGAACGGATTCGAAAGTGTGTCTATAAGCTTATAGCTTCCTGCACAATCGAACTAAAAAAAACTGTATAAACCAATTATGAAATTACAAGAAAGCTGGAAAGTCTCAATATGTGACGTAACCCGAACCTACCTGTCACCCCCTCTCCCCCCAAAAAAAAAAAAGAAAAAAAAAGACAAACAAAAAAACTTACCCAGGATTTATTGAATGGATGGTCTCACAGAGTGCACGTATGTCATAAGCTATATGAGACGGCACATTGAAAGCAACATCATTTGCTCCGACCAGAAGCACGACAGTCTGCAATTAATGACAGTGTAGCAATGTACATAATGGGCATTTTTCTCTTTAAGATATTATATAATTACTCGTATAGACGTTACGCACAATGTTGCGTCTGTTTATATTTTTTCTTTTACGTAAATGATATTATAATGCAAGCTAGAAACTCCGTTTGTATCAAACTAGCAAAAAATCTAGATTATTTTTATTTATTTTTTTACCTAAACTAGACATGTGAGTACTATACATAAATTGCCAGTTTTTACATGTAGAATTACCCTAATTACTACATGCCATAAAAATCTTATAGTTATGAAACATAGTACAATGGAACTAATGTAGAGGCTTATTCCATATATGAAGCTTTGAAATCATATTGTGATTGGTTAGAAAAATTTCAGAATGTTGTATTGGTTGCGCATAATGGCAGAAGATTTGACTTTCCTGTTTTGTTGACGGCATGTGACAATGTAGGATTGAGGGACAGAATGTGTAAGTGTGTTGCTGGATGTGCGGATTCACTGTCTATATTTAGAAAAGCATACCCAAACAGGAAGTCTTACAAACAGGAAGACCTTGCAAAGGATCTATTGGGAGCTTCATACTGTGCTCATAATGCTTCAGAAGATGTCTCGATTCTTGGTAAACTTATTCACCACTTGGACATATTATCTGTTGATCTGCTGCCACACACATTTTCAACAAAATCTGTGTACAATTCCCAGTTGTGCAGTCGGGAAAAAGCAAAGAATTTGCCGTCACTTAGAGTATTGATTTATAATAGTGTGTGTAAGTTAACTACAGCCGAGAATATTGCTGCGTCCGGCTTGAACCTACAACATCTAAGGTGCATCTTTAAGCGCCAAGGCGAAGATGGTCTTCGGAACATTTTCGTGATGAAGAACTGTGACGGTCAGCCACGAGTAACTAATACTAAAAGAACATTAGAAACTGTTATCCCTGCCCTTGCACAGTATTTTTCAAGGAATTAGTGTATGACATAGCATTTTTATATGATATACTTCTGTGTTGCTCCAGAGGGGAATAATACAGTTTAGTACACTGCTCGTACTCTTTCTAAAGTCAGAACAATACGTTGAGATCCATTTCAAGTTGACAATTTTTACATTTACTCAGTATATACAGTAATTAACATATTTATAGAATGCTTAGAATATAGCTTCATAATAATTAGGTCATTTTGAGAATGTTTGATACTTTTCAAAATGTATTTTGAATTTTACATAAAGAAATGTGTACTGTTGATGAAAAATGGCCAAAATCAGTTTATGGGGTTGTCAAATATAATGCTGTATATTTTACAAACAACATGGTAAATGATGTCTTTCTTTTCTTATTTTTCTCATATGGTATGTTAGATAATTTCTATGTATTTCAATTGGCTGGACCTTGTAAGTAGGTTATAGAAAATTCTTAGAAAAATTGAAGTACAAGTCTACATTTTCACGATTTGGCCATTTTCCGAGTGACAATGGTAACATATTTTTGTTTTCATAAGTTTTATTGCAAATACTGTTACTCAAATGATATTTTATTTTGATAATATAATAAATGTACTACAATTTGGTACCAAATTTCTAATGTTTTTGCAATATCTGTTGAAAATAAGCTCATTTCTATAGTTCAACTCTGGCAAATTTTACACGATCCAGAAAGGGAAAGGCCGAAAACATACACTTGGTCATAATTTTCTTATTAGATGGTAAAAGTCAATGAAAATTTGCAAACATGTCAGGCATGTAGCATAGATTCAATAAATATTAACATTCCATAGGTTCTAAGATATGTCAATGATGGGTCTAAGACCTTAAGAATTTAAGCGGGTTAGTTGGAATTTCAATATACTGTTATCTTCTTTAGATTTTTAATATGTATATCTACTCAGTCATGATCTAAATTTTTATACATGTGCAAGTATGCAAAGGAACGGAATTTCTTATAGAAGCATTTTAATTAAAGTGGATTTTTATTCTTATAAGATACATTAAAAGCCTTCCTTAGCCCATTTAATATGGCAAGAGGTATTTACAGTACACACATGTTGCAACATCAAAAACGCCCTTTATATAAATATGAATTATTATACATGAACACATTGTAAATTTTTGTATTTCAAATCCATGGAAATCCATAAAGTACTTACAGACAGACCTCCTTTTTCAAATATTAATTATTTACAAAGTTCACTAAAGTTACAGACTGTGTCAAACTGTATTTAATGATCGTTTCTTGTAAATATTAATTTAAGCAGGACTAGCAGTCTTGCAATAGATTAGTTGAAATATTACTATATTACTAGAAAGCTTTCAAATGACCAATAAATTGTTACGGTAATATAATTTGGTAACGCACACATGCTAATTGATTGGCTAATTCTCGATAATTAACTAATACTCCGCGACAATTAGTGTAATTAATAGATGGCTATAATATATTCACGCAACAATTCTCGTAACAGTTTTCGATTATTTGCCATTATTACTAATTAACAAATTTAACCACATTAATAGGGTTTAATAAAGTTATTAAATGAAAACATTAGCACAAAGTTTGTTACTGCAATCAAGTCAATGAGTAATATTTACTATTAAGAATATATAGAGCAGACTTGCTTGTTTTATATGTGGAAAAATCAATTTACTATGTATAGGCAATTTTAATGACGGGGCTAATATTTTGATACTTTATAATATATACTTTTAAAAAAAAATGTTTTATCGCGAAATGCACAAGAATTAATTGGGACAAGGGTATGTCATAAGTATATTATACATGCATTGTGCTCTTCTGTTAACCATGCCTTTTTATTGAAAATTGTATTGCTAGTTTTATTGCAATAAAATATTTGTAGTCGGCGGTCCGGTCTCTCCATGTTGACGGTCTTCTATGGTCTTAAGAATATAAAGAAAATATACAACACAACACACAACAACAACAACAACAATTTATTTCAGCATTAAGTAATATACATTTACTTCTAGCCCTCAATAATATTATAATGTGTAGTGATAGGTCAAATAAAGATTACATAAGTATTATTATTTAACCCATTACTTCATGAGCATTTTGTGAAAAATGGCTGTTTTCATTGAAAAGTCTCCCGTTACAAGTTCAAATTGTAACCTACTAATCGACGGTAACCACGAGACCGTCGATATTTATCAAACTACTGTGGTCTCTCCATGTTGACGGTCTTCGACGGTCTAAGACAATTGTGTGCAAAACTTACAAATTAACAATGTTTGTGTTAAAATAATTCTGAGTACACTACTATTACTTGTACAAATGAAAATAGTATCGATGAAGTTGATATTAAAAAAATCGAAAAAAAAAATAACAATGATCTATCAATTAATTGGCAGTCATCAAAAAAAAAATAATAATAATTATAATTTTTCCCTTTTTTCAAAGGAATATTTTATTTGCTTTTTTTACAAATCATCGAAAAATTGACACAAATAACGTCTTAGAGAAAAATGCTTATTGGCTGGCAACATAAATTAATAACACGAGACCGTCGATTCGTATATTTACATACTAATCGACGGTCTCCTACAATCAACGGTCTTTGGAGACATAACCATACCACGAGACCGTCTATATTTATAATACTACTAATCGACGGTCTCTCTCAATTGACGGTCTTCAAGGGTCTTTAGAATATATACAATTGTGCGAAAACTAACACATTTTTATAGATTTTTAAATTAAAAATATCGAGATTATACTTCTTATAAAAATAATATAGAGGGAGTTCATGTAACATAAAATCGGAGACCTTAAACAAGAAAATAACAAAATAATAAAAAAACAAAAAAGAAAATTAAAAAGAAAAAAAAGAGAAAAAAAAAATAGTTTTGCTTATTGCCCGGCTAAATTAATTAACAACTATATAATATCCATTAAATTCATGTATAATCACGAGACCGTCGATTTGTGTAGTAACCTACTAATCGACGGTCTCCACGAGGCCGTCAATATTTATCAAACTACTGTCGACTATAATTGACGGTCTCTCCCTGTTGACGGTCTTCGACGGTCTTAGACAATTGTGCGCACACTTACATTAACAATTTTTCTGTTTAAATTATTCTGAGTATAATACTATTACTTATACAAATGATAATATTATCGATGAAGTTAATATTAAAATAATACAAATAAAAACCACTCATAAATACAAAAAGGGGAAATCTTGAAAAAAATAACAATGATCTATCAATTAATTGACAGTCATCAAAAAAAAAATCAATTAATTATATCATATCCTTTTTTAAAGGGAATATTTTATTTGCTTTTTAATTTACAAATCATCAAAAAAATTGAAGCAAATAAAATATCGTCTTAGAGAAAATGCTAATTGGCTGGCAACATAGATTAATAACACGAGACCGTCGATTCGTATAGTAACCTACTAATCGACGGTCTCCTACAGTCAACGGTCTTTGGAGATATAACCATACCACGAGACCGTCTATATTTATAATATTACTAATCGACGGTCTCTCTCAATTGACGGTCTTCAAGGGTCTTTAGAATATATACAATTGTGCGAAAACTAAACACATTTTTACAGATTTTTAAATTAAAAATATCAAGATTATACTACTACTTATAATAGTAATATAGAGGGAGTTCATGTAACATAAAATCTGAGACCTTAAACAAGAAAAGGAATAAAAAATAAATAAAAAAGGGAAAGAAAACAATATAAATAAATAAAAAGGGTAAGAAATTTAAAAAAAGTTTTGCTTATTGACCTGCTAAATTAATTATTAACTACAAATGTATATAGTATCCATTAAATTCATGTATAATCACGAGACCGTCGATTTGTGTAGTAACCTACTAATCGACGGTCTCCACGAGGCCCTCAATATTTATCAAACTACTGTAGACTATAATTGACGGTCTCTCCCTGTTGACGGTCTTCGACGGTCTTAGACAATTGTGTGCAAACTTACAAATTAACAATTTTTCTGTTTAAATTATTCTGACTTTACTATTATTACTTATACAAATGATAATATTATCGATGAAGTTAATATTAAAAAAAAAATACAAATAAAAAACCACTCATAAATACAAAAAGGGGAAATCTGGAAAAATAACAATCATCTATCAATTGATTGACAGTTCATAAAAAAAAATCATATTAATTATATTATATCCTTTTTTAAAGGAATATCGTATTTTGCTTTTTTACAAATCATCAAAAAAATTGTAACAAATAAACTATCGTCTAAGAGAAAATGCTTATTGGCTGGCTACATAAATTAATAACACGAGACCGTCGATTCGTATATTTTACATACTAATCGACGGTCTCCTACAATCAACGGTCTTTGGAGACATAACCATACCACGAGACCGTCTATATTTATAATATTACTAAATCGACGGTCTCTCTCAAATTGACGGTCTTCAAGGGTCTTTAGAATATATACAATTGGTGCGTAAACTAACACATTCTTATAGATTTTTAAATTAAAATATCGAGATTATACTACTACTTATAATAATAATAATAATATAGGAGGGAGTTCATGTAACATAAAATCGGAGACCTTAAACAAGAAAATAACAAAATAATAAAAAAAAACAAAAAGAAAAAATGAAAAGAAAAAAAAAAATAGAAAAAAAAATAGTTTTGCTTATTGACCGGCTAAATTAATAAATAACTATATAATATCCATTAAATTCATGTATAATCACGAGACCGTCGATTTGTGTAGTAACCTACTAATCGACGGTCTCCACGAGGCCCTCAATATTTATCAAACTACTGTAGACTATACTTGACGGTCTCTCCCTGTTGACGGTCTTCGACGGTCTTAGACAATTGTGCGCACACTTACAAAATTAATAATTTTCTGTTTAAAATTATTCTGACTATACTATTATTACTTATACAAATTATAATATTATCGATGAAGTTGATATTAAAAAAATACAAATAAAAACCACTCAT